CACAAGCTTTTCCTCCTCTCTCTCTGTCATAGTTTTGAGTATTCATGATATACATGAAAAATCATCCTGAGACAGCCCAATTCCAGGCCTTTCTTGCCCATCTTGGATTCTGTGGTGTGGGACATGGTGATATTCTGTTCTTGTCCCCCTTGGCTAGCTCAGCCTTCATTCATCCTTTCTCCTTTCCAACTCTGGTACGGTTTCCAGATTTGGCAAATAAGAATACAGGACACCCAGTTAAACTACACGAGTAATCTTGTAACATACCTATACTGAAAAGTTTACTTGTTTTTTTGAAATTCAAGTTTAACTAGGTGTTGTATATATTATCTTGCAGTCCTACTGGGGTTAGTCAGCACAAGCTCTAAAAGTTGTCTTTTATATTCTGTCATTAACAGTGTATTCCCATTTTTTGAAGGGACCAAGTATGGCTTTGTAACATTATAATTTTAAACTCTGACTCGGGACCAGATGAATGTTTTGAATGAGATCCAGATCCATGCACTAGCACTTCCTTTGGTCCTGGTCTTTGCTCTTTTCTTCACCCATTTTTGGGCCACACACTCCATTTCTATTTTTAGCTCCCCCACGTACTTCTTGCCACTTACGCTGTCTTTTCCCTGAGGACGCACTGAGAAGCACTGTTATAGAAACCCGGCTTTCCTCTAGGAATGTGCTCTCAGAGAGCGTCCCTGTGCCTGGAAATGCTCCCCACATGACTCCGGAAGTGGGAGGAGAGCCAAAGGTTTCCTCCACCTTCGCTTTGGTGGTTGGTCACCAGGAAGTAGGTTGCACACTCTAAAGTGAGAAAACAAAAAGTGAGGTCTGCCAACAGCCATCACAAGACAAGCGTCCAGCTTCTCATTCTCCTCAGGTCAAATGGTACCCTCTTGTCACCCACAGGGTCTGAGTCAGAGGTGAAACTCAGCCCCCACACCATACTCATGATATCCACCAGGGGATTTGGAATTCCAGAATGTTTATTTCTGGTTCATTGACCTAAGATTCAAACACACATAACCTGAAATTATAGTACTGTATACCCACAGCCCAGAATTGCAAGCCCATTATTAACAGCAATACATTTTGTGCCCTGAGGATTTTTCCCAAATTGCTCCCAGTTGTTTTACCCGATATCATTTTGTCTGTTCTGATTTATAAGTGCCATACATTAGAGAAAATTTGAAAAAGCATGTATTAGAAAGCAAAATCCATACTCTCCCTTATCCCCATACTCAGACAGAAGGTGTGCAAGGAAAGAGATGGAAGTTTCACCCAGGACTAGATTTGTTTTGGGAATTGCCCTCTCTTGCCTATGCATACAGAGATTTGGAGGGGGATGTAGAGAGACTGGTGTAATTCCAGAGGGAAAGATGAGGCAATATGTTTAAAGGAGATTTGGAGCAAAGTTTGCTGGATGAGGGGCACATGACCCTTTCCTATATCTCCCCATCAAAAAAAAAAAACCAAGAATCTACATTTCCTGTGTGTCCTTCTGGAAATAAATTTCTGTTGGGGTTAAGGGATTAAGAATAAAGGACACACTTAAATTAGCCTCAGGACGGGTGCATTGGCTCACATCTGTAATCCCAGCACTTTGGGAGGCCAAGGCAGGCAGATCACTTAAGGTCAGGCGTTCAAGACCAGCCTGGCCAACATAGTGAAACCCCGTCTCTATGGGGAAAAAAAAAATTAGCCAGGCATGGTGGCAGGCACCTGTGATCCCAGCTACTTGGCAGGCTGAGGAGGGAGAATCACTTGAACTTTGGAAACGGAGGTTGCAGTGAGCCAAGATTGTGCCATTGCACTCCAGCCTGGGCAGCAGAGCCATACTCTGTCTCAATAATAATAATAATAAAATAAAAGCCTCAAGGCAAGAACAGTGTTCCTCAGGTTATATAATAAAAAGAAAGATTAAGAAATGCTGGGCCAGGCGCGGGGGCTCAAGCCTGTAATCCCAGCACTTTGGGAGGCCGAGGCGGGTGGATCACGAGTTCATGAGATCGAGACCATCCTGGTCAAAATGGTGAAACCCCGTCTCTACTAAAGATACAAAAAATTAGTTGGGCATGGTGGCGCATGCCTGTAATCCCAGCTACTCTGGAGGCTGAGGCAGGAGAATTGCCTGAACCCAGGAGGTGGAGGTTGAGGTGAGCCGAGATCGCGCCATTGCACTCCAGCCTGGGTAGCAAGAGTGAAACTCCATCTCAAAAAAAAAAAGGAAAGAAATGCTGGGCATGGTGACTCACTCCTATAATTCCAGCATTTTGGGAGGCCAAGGTGGGGGGATCACCTGAGGTCCGGCGTTTGAGACCAGCCTGGTGAAACCCTATCTCTACTAAAAATACAAAATTAGCCAGGCGTGGTGGTGGGAACCTATAATCCCACCTACTCAGGAGGCTGAGGCAGAAGAATTACTTGAACCCAGGAGGTGCAGGTTGCAGTGAGCCACGATCATGCCACTGCACTGCAGCCTGGGTAACAAAAGCAAAACTCTGTCAGAACGAGAGAAGGAAGGGAGGGAGGGAGGGAGGGGAGAGAAAGAGAGAAAGAAAGAGAAAGAGGAAAGAAACAAAGGAAAGAAGGAAGGCCGGGCACGGTGGCTCACACCTGTAATCTCAGCACTTTGGGAGGCCGAGGCAGGCGGATCACCTGAGGTCAGGAGTTCGTGACCAGCCTGGCCAACATGGTGAAACCCTGTCTCTAACAAAAAAAAAAAAAATAAGAAAGAAAGAAAGGAGGGATGGAGGGAGGGAAAGAAGGAAAGAGAGAGAGAGAAAGAAAGAGAGAAAGGAAGGAGCCCATCCTCTAAAAGCAGGATTTGGGAAATACTTCCTTTAAAAGACAAAATAATAAATATTTCAGGATTGGCCAGCACATATGATATCTGTTATCTCTGTTGTATATTCTATGAAGCAGCCAAAATAAGTCAAGAATTGAAGAGGTTCTAAGAGAGGAGGAGCTTTATTTTATAGTATAATATGAACTGTAATTATTATAATTATTTGCTCCGTTACCTGCCACAGTGAGAATTGTTATGTTAGGCATTTTCCTCAGGTGTTCAGTTGTTGTCTGAGTGGCATGAGTAACACACAATGATGCTGGCGGGAAAATGTGTGTGTGCCCAGAAAGGAAGGAGGTCCTTCCCCTTAGTGTAGAGGAAGGGCCACGTGCGAATGCACGCATGCCCTGCAGCTGACATTCCCACCACCTTACTAATGCCCGGTCCTCATGTTTACTCTTCGTTTAGGTCAAGGAAGTTGATCCACTGAGTAATGGCTCAGTCATGATTTTTAACACCTCTGCCTCACCACATCTCTATCAAATCAAGCAGCTGCAAGCCCTGGCTAATTACAGCATTGGCGTTTCCTGCATGAATGAAATAGGCTGGTCTGCAGTAAGCCCTTGGATTCTGGCCAGCACAACTGAAGGAGGTAATTCCTGAGGTTCAGAATGAATACTGACCCTGATGGCATGAGATTCAACAAACCTTTCCCAGTGGCCTGAGAGTTGAAACTTTGCTTTGTTTGGATTTTCTCTCTGGAGGAGAAAATTATTGAGGTGACTGATGAAAATGGGAATGATTTTCCTCCATACTTTAAAAGGATTTAGTGATAAAACTTAGCTTTGTTATGTACAGGTAATCTTTTCTTTTACATAGAAAGACAATACCAGCACACTTTAAAACATGCTGTCTCACAACACAACAATCGATACATGTTACCAATACAACAAGCAACACAGAAGCCTTTGGTGACTCCACTTATGTGGGGAATTCTCTCCACCAACAAGCAATCAGCTCTGCAGCAGAGACCAGCTGTCTGTCCTCTAATTCAAGTCTGACACTACATGGAGATAGCTTCAGACCCCACAAGTTGAGGGCTCAATCCCCAGGCCTCTCCTCCCAGCTGTCCCCAACCCCGGCTTCTAGAAGCCAATCACAAATCTGGGCCTCTGGGACTTCTGATTGACCGACTTCAAGTAGTGTTTCCCATCCTCAATTTCGTGTCCAGTTAATTTGCTGGAATGGTTCACAGACCTTAGGGAAACCCTTTTGTTTAACAGTTTATCGTCAAGGATATTACAAAGGATTTTTTTTTTTTTTAAAGAGAGATCCAAAGGGCGCGGTATAGAGGGAAAGGGCATGGAGCTTCCATACCTTCCCTGGGCACACCACGTCCAGCAACCTCCACATGTTCGGCTATCGGGAAGCTCTCTGAACTTGTCCTCTTGATTTTTTGTCGAAGCTTCATGACGTCAGCATTCCTTCCTCCAAGTTACAGTCAGGACCCCCTTTGTAATAAGGGTCTTATGACCCACAGTCAGAAAGATGGGGAAGATTAAGGCCAGGTGCAGTGACTCACGCCTATAATCCCAACACTTTGGGAGGCCAAGGTGGGCAGATCACAAGGTCAGGAGTTCGAGACCAGCCGGACCAACATGGTGAAACCCTGTCTCTAGTAAAAATACAAAAATTAACCATGTGTGGTGATGCATGCCTGTAATCCCAGCTACTCGGAAGGCCGAGGTAAGAGAATTGCTTGAACCTGGGAGGCAGAGGTTGCAGTGAGCTGACTCTGTCTCAAAAAAAAAAAAGGATTGGAAAGATTAGAGTCCTGTACTGAGGCACGTGAAAGGAGGGCAGGAAGAGGTCAGAGCAATTGTTTCCTGAGGCCTGCCCCTGAGGCGTAAAGCACATCATCATAGCAAGAGTATAACCACAGCTATGGGAGTTGTAAGCCAGAAACCATAACAAAAACCTGTGTGTGTGTGTGTGTGTGTGTGTGTGTGTGTGTGTGTAGGTTATTATATGTATGTACACATGCACATACAACCATGTATATACACACATAAAATAACCCCACAAGTCCATTAAAATATAATGGACTCATTCAAATGAATAGGTTTAAGTGCATCATATTTTCTATTTGTTCTATCTGTAATTTGTTCTCCTTTTCTCCTTTTTCTTTATTTAAAAATATTTTATTTCTCTCTATATATTTTTTTATTTTCAAAAACAACTTTATTCATGACACATATTTAAAAAAAATTCCCACCCCTGGAAATGAGCTAAAAAAATAAACAAAATCCAGCTCCCACCTCCCTGTTCCCACTTCCTCCCATTCCTTCCAAATAAAAGGGAAAAAAGGCAAAGGAAAACAAAACAAAAAAAAAAACCCTGAAAAACAAAAACACCCCTAAAACCCCCAAAACAAGGTAGTGCATTTCCCCAGGGGGAAGGGGAATTTACACTGGAGCTGCTGGGAGCGGAATGGAGATCTTCCAGCTACAGAAACCTGCAAAGACACTCAAAGCAGAAAAAGAAACACAAAAGGAAACAAAACAGATCACCAGGCAACCTGGAGGGGCAGGGAGCCGGAGAAGAGGGGTGGGGTGGGTGGTAGACCTGGCTGGACAGAGCCAGGCAGGAGGGGACTGTGAAAGGTGAGGAGACGGAGGGAAGGTAACAAGCAGAACAGTTTGGTGTCCTTCCAGAGCCCTGGGTTAAAAAAAAAAACCTACCACCCATACCCACCTACCCTTGAGCAGCCCCCAAGGGGGTGAAGTGGGGCAGGGAAACAAGGGGAGCAGCTTGCGCAGTTGAGACGTGTCCATGGTGAATCCCCAGAGTGAATAAGCAGCCCTCTGCCCCACTCCCTGGGGGCGTTCCCCTACTCCCCAAAGCAGGTCCCTCCTCAGCAGTCAGTTAATGGGATTCTCCCCCCTTCCACAGCATATCTTTTTTTTAAAAATACTTTTTTTTTCATCAAGGTCATCTTCTGTTTTTCTTTCTTTTTTTTTTTAATTCCTTTTTTTTTTTTTTCTTTATTTCCTCTTTTTTTCCTCTCTCTCCGCCTAATACACACTTTCTAAAGTAAGGAATACCACGATGTCACTCTAGCCCGGCCCCTGTAGACGCGACCCCGGGGCCTGCTGTTAAAACCACTGTAGAATCGAGAGGGTGAGCTGTTGTAGTTGGTGGTCCGTGCGCGGTAGTGGACTCGTGGAAAACCCCGGTCTGCTGTACTGATGCCTGGTCTGTTGGTTCGTTTTGGGATCACCTTGATTTGCCTTCCTCTAAATAGGGACTCATCTAAAGCCAAGGAAGTCCTCACTAACTCTTTGTCTGAGAACTCTTACATATGCAAACCCTTTGGGATGGCCGCTAAATTTGTCACAGAGTATGGTAACACGGTTGACTGAACCACAGCCATGAAAGTGAGCTTCCAGCTCTTCTGCTGTTGCACCAAGTCCACACTGCCAACATAGATGGAACGGGCATCAGCCTCCATCTTCTCCTCAATGGGCATGATCACTGGGCCAGCATTGCCTGGAGGTGGACTCATATTCATCTGCTTCTCTACCTCGTTCTGTAGTTCCTTTAGCTTCTCAGCTTCTTCCTCCATCTCCCTGACTCCAGCTTTGATAGCTTCCAGCTCCGGGTCCTCAATGGCGCCGTCCCCCGGGTCACCCTCGACCAGTCCCGGCTCCTCCTCCTTCTCTTGGCTGCCGGGGTCTCCCGATCCATGCCCATGGCCCGGAGCTCCTGGGGGCGTGGGGCGTGGGGCCGGGGCGGCTCCTCTTCAAGAGCCGGCTCCGGCTCGGGCTCCGGCAGCAGCTCCTCAGGCTCCAGTTCCCCAGACTCCAGGCCGTTCCCGTTCCCGTAGTCCCCTGCGCCCCCCAGGGCTCCCTCCCCGGCTTCCCCACCGGCCAAGATGGCCCCGCCTCCCCGGCCCGGAGCCCTGACCGCCTGCAGCCCCTGCTGCTGCTGCTGCCGCCGCCGCCGCCACCGCTGCTCACACTGGGGCATTTCTATATTTTTAATATTAATGTTTTTATGATTCTATGTTTAATTTTTTGTTTAGCTTACTAGCCATAGCTCTTTTTCTGTTCTTTTAGTGGTTGCTGTAGGATTCACAGCATACATATTTAACTTAACACAGTTTACCTTCAAGTGGTTTATGCCACTTCATATATATTCCATTTTCCCCTTCAGATATTTTTGGCTCTTGTTGTCAAATATTTTACTTTAATGTATCTTAAAAACCCATGCTACATTGTTGTTATTTTTGTTCAGTCAGTAATCTTTTATAGAGAGATTTATACAACCAGGAAAAACATGTTTATGCATATAGTTACCATTTCTAGTAGTCTTCTTTTCGTCTTTATATTTTATCTGGTCTTTATATTTGGTCTTGATATTTTATCCTTCTTCCTGAAGAACTTTTTTGAAAGTGATTTCTTAAAGTGTGGATCTCCTGGTATGGTATTCAGCTCCTGTAGTGTAGGGGGAAATATTTATTTTACATTTGAAGTCTTATTTTTATTTTTAGCCTTCATTTTTGAAAGGCATTTTTACGAAGTATAGAACTGTAGTCACAGTTTTAGTTTTTTTTTTCCTTTCAGTACATTAATAGAAGTTGCTCCAGTATCTTCTTGCTTGCATTGTTTCCCACGTGAAATCTGTGGTCACCCTAATTTTGTTCTTCTGTATGTAATGTGTCTTTTGTCCCCATTTTCCTCCATCATTGATTTTGAGCAATTTAATTGTGACGTGCTTTGGTGTAATTTTATTTATATTCCTTGTATTTGGAGTTCATTGGACTTTTGGGGTCTCTGTGTTTGTTGTTTACATCAAATTTGGGAAAAAATTGGCCATTATTTCTTCACATATTTTTTTCTTTTTCCACCTATCCTCTCTTTTAAGGACTCTGGTTACATATATATTAGGCCATTTGAAGTTGTCCCATAACTCACTGATGACCTGTTATTATTTATTTTCCCCTTCTTTTCTCTATGCATTTTATTTTGGATACTTTCTATTGCTATGTCTTCAAATTCACTCATCTTTTTTGGTGCAGTATCTAATCTGACATTAGTCCTATCCAGTTTATATTTCATCTCATACACTAATTTTTAATCTCTTTTTGACATTTTTATGTCTCTTAACTTTTGGTCCATCCAGAATGCAGTTATAATTACTTTTCTTTTCCTTTCTTTTTTATGTTCCTTTTTTGAGACAGAGTCTCATTATGTTTCATAAGCTTGAGTGCAGTGCCAATCATAGCTCACTGCAGTCTTGAACACCTGGGCTTAAGCAATTCTCCTGCCTTCACCTTCTGAGTAGCTGGTACTACAGGTATATGCCACCACACCCAACTAATTTTTGTACTTCTTTTGGTTGTTGGTGGTGGTTTGTTTTTTTGTTTGTTTGTTTGGTAGAGAAAGGGTCTCACTATTTTGCCCAGGCTGTTCTCAAACTTCTGACCTCAAATGATCTTCCCACCTCAGCCTCCCAAGATGTGGGGATTACCGGCATGAGCCACCACACCCAGCCTTTGCATAACTGTTTCAATGTCTTTGGTTGCTCTCCTAACATCTATGTTATTTGTGGGTGGTTTCAACTGGTTCATTTATGGTCCACTCTAGATAGTATTTTTCAGATTCTTGGCATGCCTGATAATCTTTGATTGGATTACAGACATTGAGAATTTTGCAATGTTGGATATTAGATATTCTTGTATTTCTATAAGTAGTGAGCTTTGCTTTGAGACACAGTTAAGCTGGTGGGAAACAGTTTAATCCTGTAGGGTCTTGCTTTTAAGATTTATTAAGCAGAACCCCAGCAGAGCTCAGTTTAAGGTAAATTGTTACCCACTGCTGAGAGAAGACCGTTCTGTGTACCCTACGCAGTGCTTCTTGAATCATTAGATTTTCCAGTCTGATTGATGGGTACAGTCACTATTCTTGCCCTGTGTGAGGTACAGTTAAATTGTTTCATGTGGTTTTTTTCCTATTTTCCTTTAGAGTTATCCTAAACATTCTGGTGCCTTCTCCTGGGTATTTGCCCTTCTTAGTTTATGCCCTTATCTTCATGGAGCCTATTCTCAGCTTACACAGAACCTATACATAAAAAGTAAAGATTGTGGGAACTTGCATGTCTTTATGTAATACTGGACTAGTCATTTTTCCAAATATATAATTTTAGGTTGAAAATTATTTTCCCTCAGATGTTTAAAAGTATTTTTGTGTCATTTTTTTAGCTTCATGGGTTGCTGTGAAAAATTCTGATAAGTTTTCTATATGAACTGCTTTTTAGTTTTAGTTTTTAGAATATCTTTTCTCTTTAATACTGGTTCTGTGATAAGCTGTGATGTGCAATTTGTTTTGGTCATTATCATGGGTATTCAGTGGCCCCTTTGACCTGGAAATGCAAGTCCTTTTGTCCTTATACTTTTTTTCCCCCCTTTGGAAATGTTCCACTCTGTTTCTTCCAGAAATTGTGTTAGACAATTGTTAATTAGACCTCTTTTATTGCCTCCTCAATTTTCTTTTTTCAAATTGGCCTATTTTCTTTCCCTTTTTATTCTATCTTCTTGGAGATGTACTTGATTTATCTTCCAATTCTTCTACCAAATATTTTATTTTACTTATTGTGTTGCTAATTTTAAGTTTTTTTTATTGACAATTTTTCTGGTTCAATCATGAGAGCCTTTTCTGGATATCTCATTTTTTAAATTTATTTGTCTTTAGTTTTCTCTAGTTCCCTACAGTGGCTTAGTCTCCTCTAAGCACTCTGTTCCGTGTGGTTTTTTGGTCTCCGACATTCAGGAGGGAGGCTTCCCCAGACCTCTGCCAATTTCTGCTGTCTGCTCCAATGGAAGAGTGAAGAAGCATTGATTTGATTGGAACTCTGTGAGAGTGGGCAGAGTTTATAAGCTTCACTATCAGGTGAATGGGCAGTGATGTGTTTTGATCCAGGTACCCCCAAGTGTCAAAATTGGTTCCTTTCCGTTATAGCCACTCACTTCCTCTAGAAAAGAAGTCTCCTGCCCCAGGAATTAAACATGGCTGCTGATGTTCTAGCCACCAAGCGGGGGAGGAGGGGAAGGTAGAGTCCTTGTCATTTAGTGTACAAACTCTCACTTATTTCCCCAGTTTTCAGCCTGGTTCCTTATCATGCTTCCATTCTACAGGTGCCCTAACTTTAGTGGCCTTTTGCTTCAGAAAATAATTCACTCTGTCTCTTATTGGATATTTGAGGGCATATTTGCCAGGTGTGTAGGGATGGAGAAGGCAGACATTGAGGAGCAACTGTTTCTTAATCAGACTTCCAATCAATCTTTCCAGTTTAGTCCCTCTTTTACCACCTGGGTCCACAGTTTCTGAGCTGCTCTGTGGTTCTCTGGGGGAACACTGGCTTGCTGAGTCAATTACACCTTCTTCATCTCTTTTTCAGCTTTCAAATATGTGTTGAAATCTCTCTCCTACTGTTGACTCCTTTTTGCCTTGTGAGTTTATATCTTTTTAAATTCTTTACTGTCATCATAGAGGGGTTTTGGGAGGAGGCAGACATACAGACATATTGTGTTGGCCATATTTATCCGCAAATTCTACAACAGGTTTGAAAGTGTGTGACTGATTTCATAGGCAGCTTTAGCTGTATGACATTTTCTTAGCTGAAATTCATTTTAACTTTATGATTCCTGTTTCTGGAATCAGCAGAGACAAAGAGGGTCATAGTATCCTTTTGATTTCCTTTCACACATTTCCGATATATAGATATATAAAATTTAACCTCCCCTAATTACAACTACAGGCAACAGTTTGGTGTATATTATTCCACTTGTTTTTATTCTTTCTAGATGTAGGAGATTTATTTTTTTAATTTCTAAAATGGATCTATACATACCTTTTACAATCTGATTTTTCCCCTATTGGATATTTTTTATATCAAAACACATGTAATACCTAACTCTTCCCAGTGGCCGGGTAGTAAGTATTCCATTGGAAAATCGTCAAAATTTGTATTATTGTTATTTGAGACAAAGTCTCACTCTGCTGCCCAGGCTGGAGTGCAGGGGCATGATCTCAGCTCACTGCAACCTCCACCTCCCAGGTTATATCATAATTATTGACTGAGCATTACATTCATTTCTATTTGTCACTATTATGCTGCAATGAATGTAATACCATCTACAGATTAAATTCCTGGAAATAAAATACTTGGTCAGAGAGCATATTATTTTCAATTTTAATGGAGGTAGTTAAATTCCTGTCTCCCAAAAAAGACTATAGTAATGATCTTGACTTGTTTCCCAAATTACTTTATACACATACATTCATGCGCACTCTCTCTCTCACACACACACACCACACACACGCACACACACACACACACGCACACGCACACACACCACACACATACACACACACACACCACACACACACACACACACGCACCTTGTTTTGTTTTGTTTGAGATGGAGTCTCACTCTGTCACCAGGCTGGAGTGCAGTGGTGCAAATTCAGCTCACTGCAGCCTCTGTCTCCTGGGTTCAAGTGATTATCCTGCCTCAGCCTCCTGAGTAGCTGGGATTACAGGTGCCCACCACTATGCCCAGCTAATTTTTGTATTTTTAGTAGAGACAGGGTTTCACCATGTTAGTCAGGCTGGTCTCAGACTCCTGACCTCAACACATGCACTTTTTAAATGTGTTAACAGATTAGCTCTGTTCAGACCATTAGTAACTTGCCTCTAGACTTTAATATGGTGGCTGCATTCTGAGCTCAGCAGTGTTTCCTACCTTGTGCATCTCAAATGCCACCAAGCTGTTGA